GCACAATAAGCAGCTTCCTTTTGGGGCACAGGAGGGGAGTGCTTGATCTTCCCCGGCTTCTTTTTCCAGTCCCCTTGGGTGTCCTGGAGGCTGTGCAGGAGGTGGGGGTGGCAAGGGGCAGAGATCGCTGGTCTTCACAAAACAGTCCGCAGCTCAGCCTGAGGGATTCAGCTGGGGAATCCTACAGGGAGCTGGTCCTCCCTATTTGAACCACTGTTCTGCCCTACCTTGTCCTTTTGCACGGTGGCTGTGTGACAGGGAGGGGCACGGTATAAGGGCAGCTTTTCCTGTGCTGGTTTGCCTCTACCAAAGCTGTTGTTCTCCATCATTCTGGAGCCCTGCAGGTGTGACCTTCCCTTCCCTTGCTCATGGGATGCTGCCAAAGATAGCTCCTGACTGCTTTCTCCAGTCCTGTCCCTGTCCCTGGAGCTCCCTTGGTATGTCAAGAGTCTACTCTCTGCAGCCCCCCTTTTCTTTCTGAGTCTGCAACAGTGCTGGATTTTTGCAACCGTGCTGGATTTAGTACTTGGGTATGCAAGTCCTACATGACTGTGCAGTAACAGCTGCACAGTCAGCGTCTCGTGTAGATGCGGCCAGATGGAAATGGTCAGACTCACGGGTGCATCTCACCTGCTGACTTAAGGAGGTCTTGGTAGCCTGGGATACAGTGCATATCACTTATTCATTGATGCCAACTGCATCATTTCTTCTTTTAAATGTAGACTCCCTGTCCCAGCCAGCATGCACTATTCTGCCTTGACCTTGGACATGAATTGCACGTCTCAAGGCAGAGTGTTGCATGCTGGCATGGGAAGTCCTTCATAGGTTTCATCTCAGGGCTTGAGGGTCACAAGCCAATGCAGGCTGTGTGATAGGGCTTTGCTTTTGGTTTATTGTTAAAATAGATCCAAGCCCAAGCTCTGAACCTCATTTTTGGTGCTGCTTCTGGTTCTTTTTTCCCTCCCCCACTCATGCTTGTTTTTCATATCTGCCTGTTTCTGGCTGTGTGGCCTGGGAGCCCAGGTGCATCTGCTGGACCATTTTGGTGCTTTGTAATTTCACCATCCTGGGAGGCGAGCGACGAACATCTGGAGATGCACAACTCACTTCCTTGTGCTACATCCAAGATGCGGTGTGTATGTGTCACCCTGCTCAGTGAATAGCTCATTAAGGGTAACTGTCTTCTGCTGTTTGCCAGGACAAACAGAGTTTGTAATTAGCAGAGAAACCCAAGTCATTGTTGTAGCGCTGAGGGGTCCCAACAGGAGAGCAGGGTACCAGGTGGTAGGTACTGTGCAAACACACCGGGGCTGGTAAGCTGCCTGCTGAAGTGGATGAGGCAGAGGTGCGGGAGGAAGTAGCAAATGTGGTCCCCATCTTCAAGAAGGGGAAGAGGGAGGACCCGGGTAACTATAGGCCCGTCAGTCTTACCTCAATCCTGGGGAAACTCTTTGAGAAGATCATCAAGGAGCACATTTGTGATGGGCCGGCATCAGAAATGATGCTCAGGGGCAATCAGCATGGATTTATTAGGGGGAGATCATGTCAGA